AACTTAAATGACATTACATAATGAAATGTAATCCCTTTACTGCAAAAAGTAATCTAATTACAGCAACTAGTTACTTACTTTGTAACGAACTAAACCCAGCATTGATCATACTAACCTAACTTATTTGTAATATTAAAAGCAAATACATTAAAAATACCTTAAATGACATCACAAACAATGAAAAGTAATCTCTTTTCCACAAAAAAGTTTATTAAAAGACTTTTAAAAAACGGATTAATCAAGAACTATTAAATATAATCACAATATATAAGGAAAGTACATTGAAGTAACTGGAATTACATTAAATAATGAAAAGTAATGCCTTACCTTATGTTTTTTGAGGAAAAGTAATCTAATTTCAGTAACTACTTACTTTATAACCCATTACACCCAACACTGACCATGATAAAAGATTCAGAAATTAATCACAACAACAACAACAACAACAAATGATAGCAGTCGAAGCCTACTCATAAACCATAAAATTAATAAACAATCAAAAACGAAAAAGGTTTTCATTTTCAACACAGTAACTTAAATGACATTACATAACAATGTGAAGTAATCCCTTTACTGCAAAAAGTAATCTAATTACAGAAACTAGTTACTTTGTAACCAATTACACCCAGAACTACTCATACTAACTTATTTACAATATTTAATGCAAGTACATTTTAAAAGTGCCTTAAATGACATTACAAACGATAAAAAAAAAGTAATCCCTTTTCCACCAAAAAAAGTTGATTAAAAGACTTTTAAAAAACGGATTAATCAAGAACTATTGAATATAATTACAATATATAAGGAAAGTACATTGAAGTAACTGACATTAAATAATGAAAAGTAATCCCTTACCTTACGTTTTTTGAGGAAAAGTAATCTAATTTCAGTAACTAGTTACTTTATAACCCATTACACCCAACACTGATCATGATAAAAGATTCAGAAATTAATCACAACAACAACAACAATTGATCGTGACCAAAGCCTACTCATAAACCCTTAAATTCATAAACAATAAAAGACAAAAAAGGAGCAGGTTTTCATTTCCAACACAGTAACTTAAATGACATTACATAACAATGTAATCCCTTTACTGCAAAAAGTAATCTAATTACAGACACTAGTTACTTTGTAACCAATTACACCCAGCACTGATCATACTAACCTAACTTATTAGCAATATTTAATGCAAGTACATTTTAAAAGTGCCTTAAATGACATTACAAACAATGAAAAGTAATCCCTTTTCCACCAAAAAAAAGTTGATTAAAAGACTTTTAAAAAACGGATTAATAAAGAACTATTGAATATAATTACAATATATAAGGAAAGTACATTGAAGTAACTGACATTAAATAATGAAAAGTAATCCCTTACCTTGCGTTTTTTGAGGAAAAGTAATCTAATTTCAGTTACTAGTAACTTTATAACCAATTACACCCAACACTGATCATGATAAAAGATTCAGAAATTAATCACAACAACAACAACAACAAATGATTGTGACCAAAGCCTATTCATAAACCCTTAAATTCATAAACAATAAAAGACAAAACAGGAGCAGGTTTTCATTTCCAACACAGTAACTTAAATGACATTACATAACAATGTAATCCCTTTACTGCAAAAAGTAATCTAATTACAGCAACTAGTTACTTACTTTGTAACGAACTAAACCCAGCATTGATCATACTAACCTAACTTATTTGTAATATTAAAAGCAAATACATTAAAAATACCTTAAATGACATCACAAACAATGAAAAGTAATCTCTTTTCCACAAAAAAGTTTATTAAAAGACTTTTAAAAAACGGATTAATCAAGAACTATTAAATATAATCACAATATATAAGGAAAGTACATTGAAGTAACTGGAATTACATTAAATAATGAAAAGTAATGCCTTACCTTATGTTTTTTGAGGAAAAGTAATCTAATTTCAGTAACTACTTACTTTATAACCCATTACACCCAACACTGACCATGATAAAAGATTCAGAAATTAATCACAACAACAACAACAACAACAAATGATAGCAGTCGAAGCCTACTCATAAACCATAAAATTAATAAACAATCAAAAACGAAAAAGGTTTTCATTTTCAACACAGTAACTTAAATGACATTACATAACAATGTGAAGTAATCCCTTTACTGCAAAAAGTAATCTAATTACAGAAACTAGTTACTTTGTAACCAATTACACCCAGAACTACTCATACTAACTTATTTACAATATTTAATGCAAGTACATTTTAAAAGTGCCTTAAATGACATTACAAACGATAAAAAAAAAGTAATCCCTTTTCCACCAAAAAAAGTTGATTAAAAGACTTTTAAAAAACGGATTAATCAAGAACTATTGAATATAATTACAATATATAAGGAAAGTACATTGAAGTAACTGACATTAAATAATGAAAAGTAATCCCTTACCTTACGTTTTTTGAGGAAAAGTAATCTAATTTCAGTAACTAGTTACTTTATAACCCATTACACCCAACACTGATCATGATAAAAGATTCAGAAATTAATCACAACAACAACAACAATTGATCGTGACCAAAGCCTACTCATAAACCCTTAAATTCATAAACAATAAAAGACAAAAAAGGAGCAGGTTTTCATTTCCAACACAGTAACTTAAATGACATTACATAACAATGTAATCCCTTTACTGCAAAAAGTAATCTAATTACAGACACTAGTTACTTTGTAACCAATTACACCCAGCACTGATCATACTAACCTAACTTATTAGCAATATTTAATGCAAGTACATTTTAAAAGTGCCTTAAATGACATTACAAACAATGAAAAGTAATCCCTTTTCCACCAAAAAAAAGTTGATTAAAAGACTTTTAAAAAACGGATTAATAAAGAACTATTGAATATAATTACAATATATAAGGAAAGTACATTGAAGTAACTGACATTAAATAATGAAAAGTAATCCCTTACCTTGCGTTTTTTGAGGAAAAGTAATCTAATTTCAGTTACTAGTAACTTTATAACCAATTACACCCAACACTGATCATGATAAAAGATTCAGAAATTAATCACAACAACAACAACAACAAATGATTGTGACCAAAGCCTATTCATAAACCCTTAAATTCATAAACAATAAAAGACAAAACAGGAGCAGGTTTTCATTTCCAACACAGTAACTTAAATGACATTACATAACAATGTAATCCCTTTACTGCAAAAAGTAATCTAATTACAGCAACTAGTTACTTACTTTGTAACGAACTAAACCCAGCATTGATCATACTAACCTAACTTATTTGTAATATTAAAAGCAAATACATTAAAAATACCTTAAATGACATCACAAACAATGAAAAGTAATCTCTTTTCCACAAAAAAGTTTATTAAAAGACTTTTAAAAAACGGATTAATCAAGAACTATTAAATATAATCACAATATATAAGGAAAGTACATTGAAGTAACTGGAATTACATTAAATAATGAAAAGTAATGCCTTACCTTATGTTTTTTGAGGAAAAGTAATCTAATTTCAGTAACTAGTTACTTTATAACCCATTACACCCAACACTGACCATGATAAAAGATTCAGAAATTAATCACAACAACAACAACAACAACAAATGATAGCAGTCGAAGCCTACTCATAAACCATAAAATTAATAAACAATCAAAAACGAAAAAGGTTTTCATTTTCAACACAGTAACTTAAATGACATTACATAACAATGTGAAGTAATCCCTTTACTGCAAAAAGTAATCTAATTACAGAAACTAGTTACTTTGTAACCAATTACACCCAGAACTACTCATACTAACTTATTTACAATATTTAATGCAAGTACATTTTAAAAGTGCCTTAAATGACATTACAAACGATAAAAAAAAGTAATCCCTTTTCCACCAAAAAAAGTTGATTAAAAGACTTTTAAAAAACGGATTAATCAAGAACTATTGAATATAATTACAATATATAAGGAAAGTACATTGAAGTAACTGACATTAAATAATGAAAAGTAATCCCTTACCTTACGTTTTTTGAGGAAAAGTAATCTAATTTCAGTAACTAGTTACTTTATAACCCATTACACCCAACACTGATCATGATAAAAGATTCAGAAATTAATCACAACAACAACAACAATTGATCGTGACCAAAGCCTACTCATAAACCCTTAAATTCATAAACAATAAAAGACAAAAAAGGAGCAGGTTTTCATTTCCAACACAGTAACTTAAATGACATTACATAACAATGTAATCCCTTTACTGCAAAAAGTAATCTAATTACAGACACTAGTTACTTTGTAACCAATTACACCCAGCACTGATCATACTAACCTAACTTATTAGCAATATTTAATGCAAGTACATTTTAAAAGTGCCTTAAATGACATTACAAACAATGAAAAGTAATCCCTTTTCCACCAAAAAAAAGTTGATTAAAAGACTTTTAAAAAACGGATTAATAAAGAACTATTGAATATAATTACAATATATAAGGAAAGTACATTGAAGTAACTGACATTAAATAATGAAAAGTAATCCCTTACCTTGCGTTTTTTGAGGAAAAGTAATCTAATTTCAGTTACTAGTAACTTTATAACCAATTACACCCAACACTGATCATGATAAAAGATTCAGAAATTAATCACAACAACAACAACAATTGATCGTGACCAAAGCCTACTCATAAACCCTTAAATTCATAAACAATAAAAGACAAAACAGGAGCAGGTTTTCATTTCCAACACAGTAACTTAAATGACATTTCATAACAATGTAATCCCTTTACTGCAAAAAGTAATCTAATTACAGCAACTAGTTACTTTGTAACCAATTACACCCAGCACTGATCATGATAAAAGATTCAGCAGCTAATCACAACAACATCAACAAAATGAGACCATCAGAAGTGTACTGAAGAAAGAAAGTATTTCCCACACTCAGATTTTCAATTCCATCACAGACATGTCAGAATAAGGAAAAACGCCCATCACTCACCCGTATCGGCTTAGTGGAGAATCTGATGGTCCTTCTTGAAGGCCGTTCCTCATCCTCGGACAAACCAGGAACCTCATCATATTCCTCATCATGTTCCTCATCTTCATCTTCATCCTTCTGTTTATCCTCAACCGCTTCCTTATCATCCACAAACGCTGCGTTCTCAAAACTATAAAAGACCGGAGACGTTTTCCCACATTCATCCGGATCCTCCTGCTCGCTCTCTTCATCATCATCATCTTCATCATCATCTTCATGACAGCTACTCCTCCTCCTTTGTACAATCTCCTCCACCTCTTCTTCAGCATTCGACTCCCTTTTCTTGGTCTCTTCTAATAAACACACTTTTTTCTCCAGGGATTTGTCCCCTGTGTGAGTCACATCATCTACTGGTGCCTCGGATTTAAGTTCCCTTTGAAGCTTCACCTCAGTCATAACATCCTCCAATAAATCCTCATCCTCATCATCATCACTCTCTGAGGATTCATTCTGGACCACCACCAGCTCAGCCCGTACCATTCCTGCCCCAGCGGGGTCCAAACACTGCTCACGAGAGGAACTGCCAATGATGTGGTTATCACTTTTGGGTTCCTCCGGACTCTGGGACGAGTTACAGGGACTACTAGGTGATTTGGGATCTTTTGTGGATTCGTTTGTGGCGGATGGTTTGACCAAATCACTCCCGGATGATGACGATGAACGTTTAAACGGGATGTGATTGGTGGACGGCGAATTAAGCTCACCAGTGCTGGACGAGGAGGATAGCTTGATTGAAATTGGGCTGATGTTGGATATTGGGTCGGATTTAGGCGAGGATAGTTCGTGTGAAGAGTCAGCGTTCAGGGGTTTCTGTGTTGAATCAGTTGCAGGTGAGCTTGTTTTTTGGAAACTTGCCTGTATAGGTCTGCTCGATTTCTCAGGGATTACTTGTGTTGACTCTTTATCATCACCACCATCCACAATGAAGTTCTCCAGTCGTCTGGAAATGGGTCCGGCGTTTAGTGATAATCGGTTGACCTGTTTGGACTCATCAATGCCCTTTTCATCTGAGACGCTCCTTACAGGTGATATTGGAGGGGTTTTAATGGCACTATTGGTGTTCATGCTTTCTGAAGATCCAAAGGATCTCCTGGACCCACGGACTGCATCATCGGGAACTTTCCCGTGGGACAGTCGGGTTGATGTTCTTCCAGGGATCGGCCTTTCTGTAGCAGGCTGATCCTTAATGCCTCTCTCGAAGAGCTTTCTGGTCACTGAGAATTTCTCCGCCAGGGCGACTTTATCGATCTCCACTTCCTCTGCTTTTCTGTCAGTGTTCTGCGGTTCTTGGCTGTTGGCACTATTTGGTTTGTTGGTGTTAACTGCAAACTTGGACACTGGAGATACTGGGGATACCGGAGAAGCATCCTGGCTCTCCTGAGGCTGCTGGCCATCCATTTGCAGGAAGATATTCTTGATTTTGTTCACTCTGTTGCCAAACGGCCTCCCCCTGGAGTCCTCCCTAGGGTCGCTGGCCCCATTAGCATAAGATTTGGCCTCGCTGTCGGATTTGGTCCCATCAAAAGAGCACTTAATGGCGTGGAAGTCCGACTTGTAGGCATTTCTATGCGGGGACGCGCTCCGCAGGGTGCGTTCACCCTTGCTCTCAGCTTTGATCATTTTGTTTTCAATGACTCTCAAAATGTACTACTTTAGACTGTATTTTTTGGTCCGTGTATCTTCAGTCGGACAATGGCCCTTCAGAGTCTCCCTGATACATTGTACTGAGTCCCCGCGCTCATCTGAGGGGAAAGAAAAAAACAAAACAATGTAACACCGAAACCAGCGCCTGCGTTATAACGCGATTTAAAAGCGCGGGCACGCTAAAACCGTCATTTATGAGGTGAAATATATTCCACATTCATCCACAAGACCAAAGAAACTTTTCTCTCTGTCTCTTTAGTCAGATCAAAACTTTCCAGCAGTGATTTGCAGGAAGATCTCCTTGACTCGATATCTGACAGAGCTCCAACACTGGAGATATACGTTGTACAAATGTACAACTGTTTCTGAGATGATAAAGAAACAGCGCGATCAGTGTTAAACCTGCCCACCAAAACCACTAAAGCTGCTTCAGTGGGACTCGTCGTGGAACAATAGCTCCGCATTAGTCCCAGCAAATGGTCTAAATAAAGTTCGGAAAACCGCGTTAGAAACTACTACAGCTTCTGCATCCACCGAGTCCTCAGCTCGTCTTACCTTCACGGATATCTCGCTGTCTACGGGCGCCGGGTCTGCAACCGTGTGTAATTTAGATCCTCAACCATGTCATCTGTTGCACCGCCATGGTTCTCCAACGTAGTCCTGTCCGACTCACGAACGAATCGTTCAATTGAGTCAGCTCGTTTTAATGACTCGGTTGAAATGATTCGCAGAGGCAGAGCTCTGCTTTGGAGTAAAACTTTAGTTGAACCCTTTGTAGAAACCTGGATATTTTTTTAAGCAAACTGTGTTTTCACAATTAAATATATAAAACAACTAGAATCTTAGAATGGCAATCAAATAGATGGATATTATTTTGGTGGTTGATATTTAATGTTTCGCAAAACAACATAGACTGCAGTGTTAAGATATTACAATCTTTTTACAATATATACAGTCAAACATATATTAGGCACATTTAATACTACAAGATTTTGAAAATGAGCTCCAAGTTTACCTAAGATATTTTTAAAGACAGTTGGAATCCAGTAACCATTGACTTACATAGTAGTTTTTCCTTTTACTGTCTTTAAAAATACCTTATTTTGTGGTCCTCAAACAGGTTTGTAACAAGCGTGAGTAGCCTAAATGATGACTGAATTTTCTGTTTTGGGTGAACTATCCCTTTAAGAGCACGCTTAAAGCGATTAACTGCTGAATTGTGTTATTAGACGCGACTCGCTAAACCGAACAGTCCGAGCGAATCGATTCGCCAAATGAATCGAACTCCCGTACGCAACTCCGCCGTCTCTTCCCTTTTGAACTCACACACACACTTCACAGACCTGTCGCACCGCTGCGCGCTCCCGTATTTGCTCTATCTGGCGGGAGCGAGCACACGAGCACATTCCTGGGCTGCTATTAATCCCAACCCCCTTCCCGACTGCCAGTTCAGTTTGCTAATCCTACTATAGCGAAGCTCTGGCTAATACATATTAATTAGCCAGCAGTGACGTTGCTTGCAATCCTGTATGGAGTGTCCAGTCACCAAAGACCTCATTAATATTCATTAGCCAAACCCTTGAGGTAGAATGACGTGTCGTTGATGTAAAAATAAGACGCCTAAAGGGTAGTAAAGTAATTAACAAATTTAATAGTTTTAATTAAGTTTATGCTAATACAAATATATTATACTAACTAAATGTACTAATAAAAGTTTAAATAAAAAGATTGTTAAATTACATTTATATTATATTTAGATGTACATAATTATTATTATTATTATTATTATATTAAATTATATTATAATTATATACAAATTTTCAGTTATAATTTAGCCTAATAAGGTTTTATCTCCCTTGAGCTTTTTACTTTTGGTGTTTATTATTCATATTTTTCGCAGCTACATATTTGTTCATTAGCCATTTAATGTATATATTTAGATTACATTTTAGGTATATATTTAGACTATATTTAATGTATATATTTAGACTATATTTAATGTATATATTTAGATTACATTTTAGGTATATATTTAGATTACATTTTAGGTATATATTTAGATTACATTTTAGGTATATATTTAGATTACATTTTAGGTATATATTTAGACTACATTTAATGTATATAATTAGATTACATTTTAGGTATATATTTAGATTACATTTAATGTATATAATTAGATTACATTTTAGCTATATATTTAGATTACATTTTAGGTATATATTTAGATTACATTTTAGGTATATATTTAGATTACATTTTAGGTATATATTTAGACTACATTTAATGTATATAATTAGATTACATTTTAGGTATATATTTAGACTACATTTAATGTATATAATTAGATTACATTTTAGGTATATATTTAGATTACATTTTCTGTATATATTTAGACTACATTTAATTTATATATTTAGATTACATTTTAGGTATATATTTAGACTACATTTTACGTATATATTTAGATTACATTTTAGGTATATATTTAGATTACATTTTCTGTATATATTTAGACTACATTTAATATATATAATTAGACTACATTTTCTGTATATATTTAGACTACATTTAATGTATATATTTAGACTACATTTTAGGTATATATTTAGATTACATTTTATGTACAACTGTATTTATTGTAAATTCTTTCTTAAAACTCAAATTTTTGTATTAACATTATAGGCACCTAGGGTCTGAGAGTAACGTAATTTCGATTCTCTATATGTCCTGTACATGTGGTTGAATTGACAACAAAGCTGACTTTGATTTTTTTTACTTTGATACATAAAATAAATACAGGTGTAAACATGGTCCAATTGCAGGCAAAACAATGTATACAGTCAGAATTATTAGCCCCCTTTGAATTTTTTTCTTCTCCACTAAAATATTTCCCAAATGATGTTTAACAGAGCAAGGACATTTTCACAGTATGTCTGATAATATTTTTTCTTCTGGAAAAAGTCTTATTTGTTTTATTTTAGCAAGAATAAAAGCAGTTTTTAATTTTTTAAACACCATTTTAGGGTCAAAATTATTAGCCCCTTTAGCTATTTTTTTCTGATAGTCAACAGAACAAACCATCGACATACAATAACTTGCCTAATTACCCTAACCTCTAAACTCTCCGTGTCAAATAAATCTCTCTTCACTTTCACCGGCGGCTTCTGTGACTCTTTGTGCCTCCATCTGCCCGCTCAATCGTAACACCGACTCTTCTGAATGTGTCTATTATAGTGTTTATTACAGTGATTGCACAAGTTGACCAGGTCAGAGCAGCGGTCAGAGTGTTTGCTGATGTCACTGTGATTCAGTATCTCCACTCGGGCTGAAATAAACACACATCTCCTGATCTTACTTCAGTGTCTGGATTTCAGTGTCAGTGATGTGGCAGTTGGAAACCCCTGTCTTATGTCCCAGCTGTGTGTCTGGATGATATTTCCTCCAGTTCCCTTCTCTGGCAGAGTATGTGTGTGTGTGTGTGTGCTTGTTTTTGTGACATATCAGGACACAAATCTGTATAATGACATGGGTATGTATTACAAAAAGGAGGTGAAATATGAGGACATTGGTGAAGTCCTCACTTCTCAAAATGCTTATAAATCCTACAGAATGAGTTTAATCAGAGAGTAAAGCTGCACACAGTCTCCTGTGATGGTTGGGTTGAGGGATGGGGTGGGATGAGGGCAATACAATATACGGTTTGGACAGTATAAAATGAATGGAAACCTATGTAATGTCCTCACTTTTCACAAAAACAAACATGTGTGTGTGTGTGTGTGTGTGTGTGTGTGTGTGTGTGTGTGTGTGTGTGTGTGTGTGTGAAACTGTTTTATCAGTGATGTACTTCCAACTGAAACTGAATATTGAGTAGGGGGCGGGGCTTTTTATGCACACAATTCCCTCAGAACAAACTATTGGTAAAGCCGCGGTGACACGGTGAGTTTATGAAATTCTACTTTGGCAGAAAGATTAACATGCTGCAATTAAAAAAAGATTCATCTCAGTTTGACAAATCATCATCATAAAAATGAAAACTTTTTATTCATTTTTTAATTTACCTCCAGTGCTATTGTGAGATTTCCACCTATAGATTTTGCCTACCCAAATTTAAAAGCTTTTCACATGCAGAGGTGTAAATGCAAAAATTTGGTATCATTTTTAAGAAAACCTTTTGAATTTTCATAAAACACTTTTGATAGTGTTTAAAATATCTGTATATGTTGTCTGTGTTATAATAAACACCCAAAAAAAGAGGCGCTTTTTGTATTTTTTTTTATAAACTCAAATTTGAAAGTTTTCTGTTTAGGTTGTGTGTGGTCTAGCGTGCTGTAATTAATTTTGGTGGTTCCTGCACATGTCTGTAATCATAGGAAAAAAGAAAATGTCTCCACCATAATCTATGCAAAAGTTATTGTGTTCCAACTGATGAGAGGTGCTGTACAAGCCACAGGGAGCGATCATTGTTTTCATATTTCACGATTCTTTTGTTTGATCAAACATAATTCACTGTGTTTGGAGCACGTCAGACATATAAAAGGATTACTTATGCACATCAGCTCAAAGACAGAGGAGAATGACCCTGAAGCGCACAGCATAAGGTAAGAGATGACAGCTGTCTGTGCTATCTGGGGCTGCTTATTGATCATAAATGTATTGTTTTCACTTCTGCACCATGGAAGCACGGCGATTCATTTGGCAACTGTTTGATATGTGAATATAATTCAGTAAAAAGAACGCTAGAACCGTATGAGCACCGGCAAGAGCTTTCATTTGAGCTATAACTTGTACATGTGTCATATGAAAAATATGAAAATGAACCAATGTTCAATACCCAGCTCAGGTATCCAAAATACTGTGTATTTAAGTGTAAATAACTTTTGTACAGTGCAATAAAAACCAAAGTGATGCATATGTGCATAAAATATAGATTCTACACTTTCTAACGAAACCACTTACGGGGGTCTGGTGCAATGCTAGCCCTTTAAATCTTAAAGCGAAAGTCGAGCGGAGTTTAACTCTTTAAATGACATATATATTGAGAAAATACTGTGTTTTCCAGTGACACTACGAAGTCTATCAGATGCCTGTGTTGTCTCTGGTGTGTCTGGACACTGGAGTCGGTTCCCTGCTGACCAAACAGCTTCAGTTTCAGAATAAATAATGAAAGGAAAAGGGGAAGAAAAGCTGTGTGGCATTCAATGAAAAACGGACAATAGACTGACATAAAGGTAAAGAACACGTCACCACAAAACCACGTGTCTTCAGTTTTGGAAGTAAAACTGAATAAATAAGCTTTTCGATGATGTACGGTTTGTTTTGTGTGACTCTAAATACTGCGAAAATAAATAATAAGTCTAAATGAAGTACTTAGCCATGCAGATAACTTATCAAAAAATGTAGTTTTGATATATTTAGAGGAGGAAATTTACTATATGTCGTCACAGACCATGATACAGAAATCGTTTTACAACAGTTCTGTCTGGTTCTTCAATCGGATTGGCTGATAGCCGTGTGATATTCTGCAATAACAGCACTCGTACAGCCTCTTCACACTTCTGTATTACTCCGCCCACATGGAGCGACAGCAGATTAATAAACTTGACAAATATTGCAGCTGTTGGACAATTTATTGTAGTTTTGAGGCTTTTTTAGTGGAGAACGGAGTTTTTAGATCGCATTTAT